ACAGAGTAAATGACCTACTCCACAGGTCATGACAGGCGGTAAAAGTTTTGGATGTAACAAGGACATTGTCACAAATTATGCCCCAACCTCATGGAATGACCCAAATAGAATTAAGTCATTGAAAATTACGCCCCAAGTCAGTTTGGAAATGGAACAACGCATGCCGCTGTGTTGTCGAGTGAGCTCGAGCTCGCCTTTTTGAAATACCGAAGTGGGCAAGTGGGTCATTAACCCAGTTTGCTTTTCCAGCAAACTCGCAGATATCCTTTTCGTCCAAAATGTACTCAGAAGTGATAGGTACTACCCCAAAGCCCTACTATTAAAAGCCATGTTGAAGTTCAGTGCTTCAATTTTGTATCCAACGTCTGAGCATTTGTTGTGTGTGCGTGTGCAGTTACATGAATTTGATACCGGTAAATGATGATGGACGGCCATTACAACGGCAAACCTGTCTGATATTTATCCATTGCCTTTTTATGCATTGAAAAATCACGTGTCTAATTTTTCATGTCACTCTTTGCGAGACGATTGTAGTGTAGAAGTGGCTTACGTTTATATTGTCAATATGCAATATATATTTGTCCTTTTTCTTTCTGAAAGTTGAATTCCTCGTCAGTGTCCACATAAAGCGATGACAATACGGTGTGTTGAATGTACGTAACTCGGGTATATTGTATGGATTACTGCAATAATCAGTTTGTAAAGTCTCATGAATAGCTCTTTTATGTGTATAATAATTATGCTTTCCCGTGTATTTTATATTTATACGTAGAGTTCCACGAAGTGATATATTATACCAGATTTATGGTTGAGTATGAATTATGTCACAGCTGCGTGATTTTGTTTATTTTTTATTCTGTGCTTGCCTGTCAATATTTGACAGCCAAGGTTGGACAGTAACTGCGAATGTTACTGGCGCTGTAGAATCTTATCTTTACCTATTCAGTGCAGTTTGACTACATTGCTTAGATAAGTCCAAGATTTTGCGCGTCGCCGCTTCGTGTCCCATATACGTAACGGAAGCTTTTTTCCTGAGCTCGAAGACGTCCGTGAATGACTTTTGGTTTTTTTTTCTGTTAATTCCGCTATTTGACAACTGGATGGCCTACCCTGGCAGGTTTCTGGAGATTGTTGGCTACAGGTGGATTCCGATCTGTGAATCGCTGCATAAATGCATCGATCTTCCAATACGAGTGTACACCGTGACACAAACTCTCTATTCGGTAGTTACCTGAACACCAGCCATGATCATTGTCGGACGAATAATTGTTGGGCAGTTAACAGTTAGGATATTACATAATACACTCTGAAATACCTGTGTTTAGCAAGTAAAGTCTTTCTTGCTATCAATTTTTAAACGTTTACTAGCTGAACATACGGGTCCAGTTCCTAAACGTCAATTTTCTGTGGCTAAAACAATCTGTCCTCAAGTTAAATATGTTTGGCATTTAAACTTCATTTCAAACTCAAAGCATAGCAAGAAAACGTTCAGAATTGCGTTTACTCGCGAAGCACGTTTTCATAGGCCAGGCAGTCACCCGCCCAGAAACAATTAGGCTACCATTGTCCCGAAGCATAAAATTGAAGACTTGGTCCCTTTGTCAATCTTACCTCGCTTGGAAACTTACTCGTAAATCTGTCAACAATGGTCACATTCGGACGTTTGATGTCTTATTTGAAAGTGGAAAATAGTATCTTTCAAACCATACTGACATTATCCACGTGAATAAACGTTCTACGTCTGACATTCAGTGCCGGGGGGGTCAAGGGGACGGAAAGGCTTACCCCCTGTGTAAACTCTTGCCCCTGAATATTAAAGTGGAACGGGGACAAAGCATTTTGTTATATTTTGCTTGCAATTTGGGGATACGCATCGTATGTGCGCCAGTGTATTAGGCAGGTACACTGAGCAGCGATTTGACATTGGTTGCGGCTTAGCTGCAATGTGAAAGCGGCCGTGGTTGTCTACTTTTGTAGATAGAGATGTCCAAAACGCTGATAGCTTTACTTTGTAGTTGTGGTGGGATGGTGTCGGGTGACCTCGACCCTAGCCGATTCCTCCCCGTCAGGGTATTTATTGCAATTCCTTTTTTTTAGTGGGACAGTTTTGTAAAAACGAAGTTGGAAAAGTAAAAAAAAAAAAAAAAAAAAAAAACGAACTTGGAGAAATACACTTTACTTTTTTTTTAAAATGTACACTTGATGACACTCTTGGCCTTTCATAGACATCCAATTGGTGTGATTTTTCGGTACAGGAAACGTCTCAGTTTGTGAGTCTCAATATTATGCTGTATAACGGTAGAGGGCACTCACATTGAGTTCGATCATGTCCTTCCTCTGTGGTACGGTTAATGTTCTGTGGTACTCGTATGTCTGAATGAATTTCATTTTGACTACACAATTTAAGAGGAATAACGCCTTCAAGTTGTACATCGGGGTTGTAAGCGCGGGCTTATAGCTTTGGCAAATTAGACATGAGGGTGGATGCAGAGCTATAGGCCTATACTTTTCTCCTTTATGGAGGGGCGATTGGGAAGAATTGATATTGAATCATATAAACAGCTGTCTACGCTACTTGTGTCTGTGTTCATTTGCCCAACCTTTTGAATTATTATAGTTTTACATGTAATTGTTTCAGTGAATTAAGTTGTCATTTATGCGGGGTCCCATTCGTGAAAAGCAAGTGGGGAAACGCGATCGAAGTGCGTAGACTCGACAACTAGTCTTCCAAAAAACAGTGTGTCAGTTTGAAATGCCATTGTTTTTCATCTCTTTGGCGTAGGCTATGCACTTTGGCATGATAATCACACAGAAAGCCCCATTCAGCTCCAAGTCATGTAAGTTGTAGCTAGATTGGCATTCGCGTAAAACCAAGTATATTCATAGGGACGATTTATTCAAGTGTTACAGCTGATTCAGTTTTATGGCAAGTCATTTCCATCGATCCGCTGGGTTAAATCTTGGGTGGAATTAAAACAGTAAATTAGAAAAAACTTAATTTTCATGTATTACTACAGCGGAACGAATCGTAGTACCTTGTAGTCCCAATTACCGTGAGTGACAGCAGCCAGTTGTCATCATGCTGCATCAGATGTTACTTCTCCTGTTTTTTACCGGCCAGGTCGAGGGATTTTGAAACAATGGCTGCCAAGATCTCGCACTTGTTAACGATTAGTGCTTACGTTCTTTGTTGCTTCATTTTTTCCTTAATGCTCGGTCAGTGTGGGTTTCTTCAACCAAAATTGAACAGGTATTGTATTCCAATATTTTGGCATATTAGCGCCAATATGGCCCAATCGAAGCGATTTGTTTTCTACTCGTGGTTCACTGTTGGGAAGATTAATCCACTTTCCGAGAAGTGACGAGTCAATCAATTGTGTGACTTGAGTCGTTTTGCGTCATGACTTGAGTCGAGTCATTAGGTAAATAAAGAAAGCCGAGTCTTGTCGAAGTCTGTCAGGTATTTGGTTTAGTGAATTCGAGTCCCAAATATTCATGCAGAGTGCAGTAACTAAACACAAGAGACAAAGCTACTTTTTGGCGTTTTTAAAACCACATCTTGGCTTTTGCGTATGATCACCGCAACTTTCTCTTCATGAAAATGGGAAGATGGAGTAGCAGTCAGTGGCGTCAATTTGTGCCGTGGGTGGATGGGGGATTGTGTGTATGTGCAGGGGATGGGGTTGAACTTGCCTGGCCGTGGAAATTTGAATAGCAATGGAGGTGGGGCTGCCGACACCATACGGCACATCTGCATCATGAACATCGCCTTGTGGTTTCATGTGGTGTCCTGCAACCCACTTTCGAATTTCCACAGCCGGGCAATTTTTGACCTCGTTCATCCCTATTCTTTCCCCTCCCCAAGTCCCCGGAACAGATTTACGCCGCTGCAGAGAAATATATCCCAAATTGTAGGTCTTTAGCCGCCATTGCATCCAACCATCTACCCATGGCCCCGCCCAAGAAAAGTTGTTAAGCACTTCTTTGTCTTTCCATGTTATCGCAAGTAGGGTTTCTACCAAAAGAACATGACACGCAATGACGCCCAAACCACCTTCGGCCTTGTCACACTTCCCATGGACACGGGCGATATTATTCACATATGGGTTCACATAATTTTTGCTGGTTGAAGAGGGGACGACAAATGCAGCAAGGTATGAGACGGAGAGAACCCCCCCTGCTTTGTGTTGGTCATTGTCTCGCAGGAATCTGGGGAATTCCTTTCAGACATCTTGGGGGATGTGTTAAGTAACAGTGTTGGAGGGGTACCCCTCGGTCTCATTTCTTGCTGGGTATAGGGGACGAGGGAGTGAAAACCACAGAGTAGCTTCCAAACAAAGAACCATTTTGGAGTTACAGACTAAATTACAGCAACTTGTCGGTTAGGAAGAAGATGCTCCGAGACAAAGATTTAGTACCAGCAAAGGTCACGTCGGAGATTGCTTTATTTTATTGCCTGGTGCAAAAAAAGTCCAATTACGACATTCCAGTGCTCTTCCATTCCAGTAAAGCGTATTTTTCTATGTGTTTATTTCCATCTGTCCTCTCATGTAGGTTTTAATTTTACAGCTAACTGCGTACATCTACACCATTTCTCTACAACTAACGGCTTCTTGGCATTTTCTTACTAAAAAGAAGTAAAGTTCAGTGATTTTCTTTATAAGTAGGTTTACAGCCTCTATATTGTCCTTGCTTTTCTTAGATACAACGTAACGAATCTTCCCTGCAGATGTCCCTCTCCTGTCTAAAATGAAAATGCTTGCCACATCATCAAAGGGATGCAGGCCTAATGCAATTTGGACCATTCATGCGATATATGGGAGTTCGTCTCGAGTGTTTGAATGTTTGCTCGTTTTGGTTCGTATTTCTTGTCTTGTTTCTAGACGTGATCCAGTACACGCCTGAACCTCACAAATTGGGGTGGATCGACTTGGCCGGCAATCACGATACAAAATACTCTTTCTTCCAAGGTCGGCAATGGATTAATAAGGGGGAAGGGATGTGATGCTATTCCGACCCCAGATCAAACTGATTTGATCCACTTAACGAGTGTTCAATTTTACCTGTCACTTCGCTGATGATCCCACTCAGTCATTCCGGGCGCATGGTGAGATGCCCGAAGAGCGATACCAGAATGCAGACTAGTGTATCGTCGTTTGTTTGGACAATGGTTTCGCTGCTGGGGCGCCGCTGCCGGCTACCTGAACCAAACCGGTTTTTGTGGTGAACCTTGATGTCCATCCCCCCGGTTAGGAAATTCGAGGGCAACAGGTGTTAGCATGTATACCTTAGCTAAACGCACCTTGTGCATCTCTCACTATATGCCTAATAATATTAGGAAGCAGAATAATTAATACGAACAATCTTGTATATAGCCATTTAGTAATACATTTTTCATGCAACTACGGGGCTCTTTAAAACTACAGGATATTGATGCATTTTATATACAAAAAACGCTTGACATGTAATGATATGTACAAAAGCACACAAGTGTAAAATAAAAAAAAACGATAGGAATATGCGGTAACAAAAATCTGCCAACTTGTTGCCTACTCTGCTACTACCGGCAGAACAGGTCGTTAAACTAGATAGGGCTTAGAAAAACGTGCATTGGGGAAGTTAACCCTTTCAATGGACTGCTTTAATCAGGCTCAGGTTTTGTTTGTTTTCCAACGAAAACTGCCACTCCATGTTGCCGTTGGTTATACTTTAAAATCACTGATCTTCTGGATTTCAGAGGTTTAATCGTAGTTATGAGTACAGCGCTAGATTTATTTTGTTTTGGTCATGCACTCTACATTCGGTAATGCACAGCCTACTGCTCGAAGGTTCTATTTTAGCGCACATAACACCTGCCAACTTGAGTCTGATAAACAAGTTAACTACATGTATTTCTGTATTTATATACACAGGGCAAGTCAGACGTGTTGAAGTCATTTAAGCACATGGTGTATAGGGGGATCCAGATGTTAGCTCGGTGGAGCGTTGAGGCGGGAACAGTGAAGGCGGGAACAATGTTGCTGCGCTGGATCTGATACTGCATGACCTGCATGTGTGCTTACTCAAGGGGTGTACAGAATTCCTTGCCAATGT